AGTAAACTCTGCTTAAGTTATTTTATTTATTATTTCCCAGAATAAAATAAAAATAATAAATTTATTATTATTTACCAGGGTCCTCCTGCCTCTGTCTACAACACAGGCTTAGGTTCCACCCAACCTGAGGGGTTTCTCTTACGCTGACGAAACAAACAAATGAACATCAGACAGATTAGGAGTAATAGACCAAATTTACTAACATGTCTATGGGCAATTGACATGACTGTGAATTCTCAAATTAGTGGGACAAACTGGGAGGTTATATCTCTTCTTAAGGGGCCTGAGAAGTCAAGGAAATGAGGAGGGTTTTGTTGATTTTTAGGTCTTGAGCCACTCTCAGTGGTGCTCAGGTCTTATTTATGACTCTGTCAGTGCTCAGGGATCACTTCTGAGGGGACTTGGAAGACCATATGTGGTGCTACGGCTTGAACCTGACTAGGCTGCATGCAAGATGAGTGCCTTACTTTCTGTACTATTTTTCCCAAGAGTAGGGATCTTACATGTTAGGGAAGAGATGACTTAATCTGACAAAATCTAGCCTTAAACGTTTATTCTGTCTCAGATAGGCTTCTTTGATAAAGGTGGTTTTATACATAGGTTTTATACATGAATATATTTAGATAATCTGAATTCATTAATGGTAACAGTTTCTCACATGGCCGTAAGCCCTGTATTGAGCTTAGCTCTACATACCAACGTGACACAAATTAGAAAATGCCTATTTTTACATAATGGAATTTATGTGGGATGATCTCTCTTACAATAGATTTAAAGAAGCAATTCGTAAAATCATTTCATGTTTTATATCCCACTAATTATTCTTACCTCACTCCCATCATCTATTGATACTTTAACTTATAATACACTATGCAAAACTAAGTTAGCGATAGCCTCATTTGTTTAATCTCTGTTTCCACTTGGTCAGTGGCGTGTCATCTTTGAACACTCCTTTAGTATCTTAAACTAAGAAGCTTCTGCACCTCAGAAGATACAGTGACCATAATACAAAGACAATCTGCAGAATGGGAAAGGCTATTCACCCAATACCCATCTAATAGGGGTTGATATCAAGGATATATAAGGCACTGGTTGAACTCTACAAAAAGAAAACATCCAACCTCATCAGAAAATGGGGCAATGAAATAAACAGAAACTTTCTCAAAGAAGAAATCCGAATGGCCAAAAGGCACATGGAAAAATGCTCTACATCACTAATCATACGGGATATGCAGATCAAAACAACAATGAGATATCACCTCCTGCCACAGAAACTGGCCCTCATCTAAAAGAACAAAAGCAATCAGTGCTGGTGCTGATGTGGTGAGAAAGGGACTCTCCTTCACTGCTGGTGGGAATGCCGACTGGTTCAGCCCTTTTGGAAAACAGTATGGACGCTTCTCAGAAAATTAGAAATTAAACTATTTGACCCAGCAATACCACTCCTGGGAATATATCCCGGAGGGGCAAAAAAGTATAGTTAAAATGACATCTGCACGTTGTATGTTCATTACAGCACTGTTTAAAATAGCCAGAATCTGGAAAAAACCTGAGTGCCTGAAAACAGATGACTGGTTGAAGAAACTTTGGTACATCTACACAATGGAATACTATGCAGTTAGAAAAGATGAAGTCATGAAATTTGCATATAAGTGGATCAGCATGGAAAGTATCATGTTAAGTGAAATGAGTCAGAGAGGGACAGATATGGAAAGATTGCACTCATTTGTGGAATATAAAGTAACATGAAGGGAGACTAACACCCAAGAATAGTAGAGATAAGCACCAGGAGGATTGCTCCCTGGCTTGAAAGCCAGCAGCACACACTGGGGGAAAAGGCAGTTGAGATAGATAAGGGAGGACCAAGTAAAGGTTGCTTGGAGAGCCCACTCGGGATGGGAGAGGCGTTCTGAAAACAGACTATAGACCAAACACGATGGCCACTCAGTACCTCTGTCGCAAACCACAATACCCAAAATGAGAGAGAGAGAGCAGAAGGGTATGAAGCAGGACGGGGTGAGGGGGATTAGATGGGGGTGGGGGGAGGCGCACTGGGATCATTGGTGGTGGAGAATGGGCACTTGTGGGGGGATAGGTACTGAGCTTTGTATGACTGAAATGTCACCACGAAAGTTTATAAGTCTGTAATGGCACCTCACGAGGATCCATTACAAATAAATAGTAAGTGAAGTAAAGTAAAGGCCCTCCCGTTGATCATCGATTTGCTCGAGCGGGCCTAGTAACGTCTCCATTGGAGACTTTGTGTTACTGTGTCTGGCATATCGAATACTCTCGGTAGCTTGCCTGGCTCTCTGAGAGGGGCGGAGGAATCGAACTTGGGTCGGCCATGTTGGCTGCGTGCAAGGCAAACGCCCTACCCGCTGTGCTATCGCTCCAGCAGAGCCTGGCAAGCTGCCCGTGACGTATTCGATATGCCGAACACAGTAACAAGTGTCACAGTGGAGACGTTAATGGGCCCGCTCGAGCAAGTCAATGAACAATGGGAGGACAGAGCAGTGCTACAGACATGATTGATAAAATGTGAACCTGTACAAATAAATAAATAAATAAATAAATAAAAACTAAGTTAGTGAGGCCCAGTACCTTCTCAGACCAGCCAGGTATTACATGATGAGGTTTTAGTTCAATTTCCCAGTAAGTTTGTCATTAATACCAGTATCATGTTAAGGTAACTTATGAGGAACTGAAACCTTACCAACCACACCAGTATTATACTATATTGCATATGGTCATGTTAGCGTAAAAGTGAATTTTCCTGTGCAGGTGGGTTCCTGAGAATTGTATGAAGGATTTACATATAAAATTTGCAAGGTTGAATAACAGAATTTGTGGTACAGTTTGAGTAGATGGAGCCGGGCCCCTCCCCAAGTGTGGAGCCTCTCCTCTACCTGTACATCACCCGTTCCCTCTCATAATGCCCAGTCCAGTATTTGACTTGTCCTGCTGTTGGGCCTTTCCTGGTCTGTAGCTCGGTGGTTCCCTAGCATCTCAGCTCTCCTAATCTCCCGATCTGACCAGGGTGAGATCCCTGACCTCTCTACCTGTTGCTCGGCCTTTCTCAACTGTACCATAGCAGTTCCTGTCGTCCTGTCCTAGCTTTCCTCATCTCAGGCTGCCTCCACGTGTGTGTGGGTGAAACTCCTGTGCTCAGCACCTTGTCACTGCCTGGACCTGAGTTTTCCTTAGTGTCTGAGGCTTGCCGGCTCCTGAGCTTTCCTGGGTGTCTGAGGCTTGCCTATATTCTGCCCCTGTCTGGGCCTCTGAGGTCTCCTGTACTCTGCCATTTCCAAGTGCACAGCCTTACCTGTTCCTGTAGTCCATAAAGGCACATATAAAGAAAGAGCGCGCATGCTGTGGGGGTGGGTGGACGTCTTTTATCTGCTGCCATCTCCCACCCCCAGCCATCACAATATTTGTTTTGACGGGATACCTGTTCAATGGGCGAAATTTAAAGTGACCAGTAAATTCACCTGGCACTTCATATTAAGCATATCTTTGAGGCCCAGCAAGATAGTGCAGTGAATAATGTGCTTGCCTTGCACATGACTGACCCAGGCTTGTTGACCAGCACTGTATATTGTCCCCTGAGCCCAGCTAGAATAAGTGCTGAGTACCACAAGAGTCCAACCACCCCGTCTCCATCCATATAATATATAAATATATATATCAAATAATCCAATAAAAATTGGGAGAATTTTGATTTAGAGAACTGTTAAATGCCACTGGAAGGGAACTTGCCTTGCATGTGGCTGACCCAGGTTCTGTTCCAGCACCCCACGTAGTTCCCTGAGCACTGCTGAGCATTGATGGTGTAAGCCCGAGCACAGCTGGGTATGGGTCAAAAGCAAAAACACAAAACAACAACAAAAAGAAATTCCAGCAGATAGAAAATAGCTTGATTTTAACTTTAGGAATCCTGTGCTCTTGATAAGAACACTGGGAAATAGAAACCTCCATATTGTTTGAGTGAACATGCTTACCATGGGACCAGAAATACCAGGAATAATCTTAGGGAGTAAACTTTTAAAATCGGTTTAACAAATGAGATTGGTTATCTTGCTCTTGCCAAAAGTATAAGCAAAAATATTATACAAGCGCGAATGATCAAGTATGACATCATTGGTCTGACGAGACAAGAAGGCACGAATCTCACCATGCCGTTTTCGACACTGGAGAAGAATTGTTCCTCGGAACATGCGATAAAAGAGGTGTCGGAGGCGTCGGTGTCCTTGTCAACACAAACTTGGCCAAGAGCATTGATTCATTCGAATGCCTAACAACCGGAATCGGACGTTTACATTTGAATAGACGGGGCTGGAGCGATAGCACAGCGGTAGGGCGTTCGCCTTACAAGCGGCCAACATGGCCGACCCGAGTTCGATTCCTCCGCCCCTCTCGGAGAGCCCGGCAAGCTACCGAGAGTATTCGATATGCCAGACACAGTAACAACAAAGTCTCCAATGGAGACGTTACTGGGCCCGCTCGAGCAAATCGACGATCAACGGGAGGGCCTTTACCTTTTTACCTTTAGACGTGACTCACTGCCTGCAGTTTCTATCTTTGTTGTCTACGCACCAACATCTCATTATGATGAAAGAGAAATCGAGAAGTTCTACATACATTTTTGTTTAACTATAAAAATGAAATAAAGTATGATTATACATATAAATACAGTACTAATATAAGTATAAATGTGAAATATAAAATCGTTTAAAATGTTATGGTTATTTTCAGGACAAATGCATTATCTTGTAATCCACACTATTTATAAACTTGCTAAGTATGTTCTTTGCATAGAAGCGGGACTTGTTCAGTGCTTATGTAGAAAACGAAAGTATTGTTTTGTCTTTTATTGGTGCTTTGGTGACACTGCTTAGGTGTAACTGGGTTTTCCAGGAATTCTAGGATGTTTAAGTAGTGGTGCTGTTCTCAGTAGTTTAGTTGGCAAATCAATATTTATTTTTGCTTTTTCCTTCCAGATGTTTTCCATAACGTGGAAATGCCGTCTCAGTACTGCTTGGCCTTGTTAGAACTGAATGGGATTGGCTTTAGCACCACAGAGTGTGAAAGTCAGAAGCACATAATGCAGGCCAAGCTGGACTCCCTGGAGACTCAGGCCTATCAGATCGCAGGCCACACCTTTTCCTTCACAAGTTCCGATGACATTGCTGAGGTTGTATCATGGCAATAGAGATCTTAAGAGTTAAAAATGATTGTGTGTTTATTTAAACATAAATGATTTGTAAATCAGTTAGCCAGAATAACTGGAGGTGGTGTACTCTGGTTTTATATAAGTCAAGTCTTTCTGTGTAAACTAGGAAGAATATAAAGAAGGCTTCTAGAACATGCGCTATGAGTAGATTAGCCCAGATCATTTCATTTCATCATCCTGTTAATCGTCGATTGCCTCGAGCAGGCCCCAGTAACGTCTTTTTCATCCTAGCCCTGAGATTATATTCACGGCTCTTTAGGAGAATGAGACCCATCATTGTTACTGGTATTTGGCATATTTGGTAGGCCACGGGGAGTTTGCCAGACTCTGCCCTGTGGGCAGGCTACATTCGATAGCCTGCAAGTTTGTCCAAAGTAGGAATGAGATAATAAGATGTCGCGCGGCCGCATTTGCGGACGCGCGGTTCCGGGATCTGGATTTTATAGTCTCTGAGTCTTGGCCGCTGATGGGATTACACGGCGCCAGGGGGCCAAGTGGTGGGTGTGGCCCCCGCCTACTGGAATTTGGAGGATCTGGGTGGAAGATGCTCGACTCCAAATCGAGTAGGCTTGGAGGTCTCGGCCCCGGAACCCGCGTGGCTTTGTCCCTCTGCCAGTACCTTCATGTGTGCGGAGAGTGGTCTCAGCATGGTGGTGGCTGGTCCTGGAGGTCTTCGGCTGCCGTAGCCCTGGTCGGGGCGGGGAGGAAAGCTCAACCCGCTCCCCTCCAAGGGACTCCGGGAAGGAACACCCAGGCGCCGGGGCAGAGACTGCACTGTTCTCGTCCGGGATCTGGATTTTATAGTCTCTGAGTCTTGGCCGCTGATGGGATTACACGGCGCCAGGGGGCCAGGTGGTGGGTGTGGCCCCCGCCTACTGGAATTTGGAGGATCTGGGTGGAAGATGCTCGACTCCAAATCGAGTAGGCTTGGAGGTCTCGGCCCCGGAACCCGCGTGGCTTTGTCCCTCTGCCAGTACCTTCATGTGTGCGGAGAGTGGTCTCAGCATGGTGCTGGCTGGTCCTGGAGGTCTTCGACTGCCGTAGCCCTGGTCGGGGCGGGGAGGAAAGCTCAACCCGCTCCCCTCCAAGGGACTCCAGGAAGGAACACCCAGGCGCGGGGGCAGAGACTGCACTGTTCTCGTCCGGGATCTGGATTTTATAGTCTCTGAGTCTTGGCCGCTGATGGGATTACACGGCGCCAGGGGACCAGGTGGTGGGTGTGGCCCCCGCCTACTGGAATTTGGAGGATCTGGGTGGAAGATGCTCGACTCCAAATCGAGTAGGCTTGGAGGTCTCGGCCCCGGAACCCGCGTGGCTTTGTCCCTCTGCCAGTACCTTCATGTGTGCGGAGAGTGGTCTCAGCATGGTGGTGGCTGGTCCTGGAGGTCTTCGGCTGCCGTAGCCCTGGTCGGGGCGGGGAGGAAAGCTCAACCCGCTCCCCTCCAAGGGACTCCGGGAAGGAACACCCAGGCGCCGGGGCAGAGACTGCACTGTTCTCGTCCGGGATCTGGATTTTATAGTCTCTGAGTCTTGGCCGCTGATGGGATTACACGGCGCCAGGGGGCCAGGTGGTGGGTGTGGCCCCCGCCTACTGGAATTTGGAGGATCTGGGTGGAAGATGCTCGACTCCAAATCGAGTAGGCTTGGAGGTCTCGGCCCCGGAACCCGCGTGGCTTTGTCCCTCTGCCAGTACCTTCATGTGTGCGGAGAGTGGTCTCAGCATGGTGCTGGCTGGTCCTGGAGGTCTTCGACTGCCGTAGCCCTGGTCGGGGCGGGGAGGAAAGCTCAACCCGCTCCCCTCCAAGGGACTCCAGGAAGGAACACCCAGGCGCGGGGGCAGAGACTGCACTGTTCTCGTCCGGGATCTGGATTTTATAGTCTCTGAGTCTTGGCCGCTGATGGGATTACACGGCGCCAGGGGACCAGGTGGTGGGTGTGGCCCCCGCCTACTGGAATTTGGAGGATCTGGGTGGAAGATGCTCGACTCCAAATCGAGTAGGCTTGGAGGTCTCGGCCCCAGAACCCGCGTGGCTTTGTCCCTCTGCCAGTACCTTCATGTGTGCGGAGAGTGGTCTCAGCGCCTGGGTGTTCCTTCCCGGAGTCCCTTGGAGGGGAGCGGGTTGAGCTTTCCTCCCCGCCCCGACCAGGGCTACGGCAGCCGAAGACCTCCAGGACCAGCCACCACCATGCTGAGACCACTCTCCGCACACCTGAAGGTACTGGCAGAGGGACAAAGCCACGCGGGTTCCGGGGCCGAGACCTCCAAGCCTACTCGAATTGGAGTCGAGCATCTTCCACCCAGATCCTCCAAATTCCAGTAGGCGGGGGCCACACCCACCACCTGGCCCCCTGGCGCCGTGTAATCCCATCAGCGGCCAAGACTCAGAGACTATAAAATCCAGATCCCGGACGAGAACAGTGCAGTCTCTGCCCCCGCGCCTGGGTGTTCCTTCCCGGAGTCCCTTGGAGGGGAGCGGGTTGAGCTTTCCTCCCCGCCCCGACCAGGGCTACGGCAGCCGAAGACCTCCAGGACCAGCCAGCCCAGATCATAGATAGCACTTAATACGTATTTGTAGAATGAACCATCCCTAGAGGTAATTACATATAGTTGTAGAAGTGGTGAGAAAAGTTCTTCTGTTCTCTTGGGTTTTCCTTGCAACCCATGTTCAACGGTATATACTGTTTTTTTTCTAAATTAAAGCAGACTTTTATGAATGACAGTTCTTTCAGTTTGATACTTGACTAAAGAAACATTATATACTGCAGGTTTTATTTCTGGAGTTGAAGTTACCACCAAACGGAGAGATAAAAAACCAAAGCAGCAAGAAAACCCTGGGTGCCACCAGAAGAGGGAACAACAACGGACAGAAGCTAAAGCTGGGAAAACAGTTCAGCACTAGTAAGGTGCTCTCCGGGGCACATCCAGACTAGTGTTTCCATTGTGATGTCTTGAAACAATCAGATGATATCCTTGTCCAGGGTTGCTCAGCGTATAAACTAATTCAGATTAGAACTAATTGGTTGTGGTTCAGTTCTCCACAAAATCTGTGGAGACATTCGACATGGAAAAGCTGAACCATAACCTGAGTTCCTCAAGGAAAGTTAGAAATCTGAATATGAATTGTTATAATGAAGTCTCAGTTTCAAAATGTAGGCAGTTGATTAAGATGATTTTCAAATAGCTTGTGAACTTAATTAATTACATTGCTAGGTAAAACAAAACAAAACCCAAAGACAAGAACGGTAAAAAGACAAGAATTGTTTATGAACTCAGACCAGTATGCATTAGTTATTGACAGCTTCCACTCTGAACTGCTAGTATAAGATGATACATATGTGAACATGAACAGTGGTATGGCAGATCTTTTATTTTGTTTTGATTTTTGGTTTGGGGCCACACCCAGAAGTGCTCAAGCCTTATTCCTGGCTTTGCACTGAGGAGTTAGTCCCTGCTTCGGGGGAGCATACGCAGTGTGAGGGATTGAACCCAGGTTGACCACATACATGGCAAGAGCCCCTAAGTGCTGTACTCTCTGGCCCTGGAAGAAATTTTATTTTTTTAAATGAAAGAAATTGGAGAATTGAGATAGTATAGAGATTAAACCACTTGCTTCTGGTTTGATTCCTGGTACCTTATGGCCTGAACACCTCTCTGTAAGCCCCCTCATTCACTGGACTGAAGCATGTCACTCCCAAGCACCATCATAGGGCCTGAGAAAACCTCGAGACCTGATCTTGGGGTTTCTTGAGCACTGTTTGGGAGACTCTCCCCCACCTTCTCTTTCCACCACCTACAACCAATACAATTAAAAAGGTTTCCCCCCCACCAGCTCCAAGGTAAGATGGTAAATTTTTGGTTATTTTGTTTTAAGACAGATTCAAAGTTAAATTCCTACGCTCAGTATCAGTGCAAAAGTATATGCATGAGAGTGTGGAAAAGGACTTGATTTTAACATTTTTCCTTTAAACTAGAGGTTTAATTTTCTGTTTATAACAAATTTTAATAAAAAAGCAAGAATAGGAAGTGCAGCTATTGTTGCCATGGATAGCAGTTCAAGTTCCTTTTCTGTGGAATTTGACCTTAATATCATTAACTGACTTCTCTGCCCCTGGGAAGTTTTCAGAGCTCCATTATGTTACTTTTTATTTATTGTCAATGGCAATTTTATACCAGAACTCTATTCTACAATGATTCATCGAAAGTTCAAAATGTAAAAAATTTGGTTCTAAAATTAACGCCTTTTGATTTTCTTGATTTAAGTCTTAAAAGTACGAGGGCAAAAAAAAATGTGAACTATCAATCACTTCAACAATGAGGAAGAAAATGTATAGAAAAAATTGGTATAAACTCTCGGGTGGTGTGTGGATTGGCAATTACTTTGCTACCTTGATGTCTCACTGATTTTATCTTGAAGATTGATAGAAATTGTTTTTATTTATTTGCTTTGTTTTTGGATCACATTGGTGGTATTCAGAGCTCATTCCTGCTCTGTGATCAGGGATTAGTCCTGGTGGGCTTGTGGGACCACATCGAGTACTGGGGATTGAACCTGGCTTGACCATGTGCAATGCCTGACTGCTGTACCTTGCTCTGATCCCCCAAAGTCGATTTTACTTGCTGTTATAATTTAATTTTAAGATCATATTAGTTACCTACGTGGAGGGATTATACTTTTCTATGGAATTTGGATAATAATCTATCATATTTTCTTTCTTTGACAGGATGTTTTAAATAAATTAAAGGCATTACATCCTCTACCAGGCTTGATATTAGAATGGAGAAGAATCACGAATGCTATGACGAAGGTGGTCTTTCCCTTGCAACGGGAAAAGCATCTGAATCATTTTCTGGGAATGGAAAGGATCTATCCTACGTCACAGTCACACACAGCTACAGGTAATGGAAATCTTAAATATGAATGATATCCAGTTTGAAAAGAAATATTTTTTATATATAATATTTTCTTGGGATTATCCAAGAAATTCAAGCATTATTAGTGAGTTAAATTAAATTTCATAACATTTATGAAATGTTAAAACAAAGATACTCCTCTGGATACAGAGATGAATTTTAGTAAGATATAATTCCTGTTTTTGAATGCTGTGTAGAGTAACTGAGATGTCTGGGACAGTGCATTGAGTAAGAAATACAGAGAAATTAAATATTTACCTGAGTCAATATTTTTATCTAATTTTAGTCATAGTTCTCTCTGGAGCCTCCTAGGTGTCTCTCCAGGCAGAACCTAAGTAGGTCATCAACCTTATTTTATTCATCCAGGAAAGACTGCACTAGTCCTTTGGGATCTTATGGCCCTCTTGGGATAGACAGGATAAGCTAAATTGGCCTAGAGTTTTCAGAGTTGAGAAATAAAGTATTTGGTATCTAGGTAAGTCAGATTTTTTGTTTATTTTTGGAGCACACCTAGCTGTGCTCAGGCCTTCCGCCTGATGGTGCTCAAGTTCACTCCTGGCAGTGCTCTGGGGACCATATGGGGTGCTCAGGATTGAACCTGATCAGGTGTGTGCAAGGCAAGCGCCTACCTGCTGTCCTGTCTCTCTGGCCCTCGGCAAATACATTTGCCAGATGCTCGTGTGTTGGAAGAACGGGCAGTGCTGACTCCACAGTGGGGAGTTTAAAATCGGGGTAGGTGCAGAATGTGAGCTCTGAGAATAGATTTTTATAAGGTTTGCAGTAGAACCTTGCTTAGCGCCTTAACATCTTTGTGCTCAATTTTCATCATGTATGAAATAATGATGGTTCTACTAGCCGTGCCTTTCTAGGTCATGCTGAAATGAAGTATGTCCGCATACTTAAGTTTGGGGTAGTGCATGGCGTTATTACCAGCTGTTGCTATGATTAATGATGAGGAATTGCTTTTCTCTTTGTTTGCTTTATCCCTAAAATTCTCCCTTTCATTTTTCCTATTTAGCCACCTTTTTGGTACTTTCTATTCTGTTACTACTTAAGTTTTGTTTTGAGACATGTTAAAATTCAGTAAAATAACTCTTTGTAAAAAAACACAAAATTAAATTTTCAAAGGTACTGCCATTTTTTTTGTTGCTTGTAAGGCAGAAACTAATCATTTTGTTTTACTGGTTTTCATCGTTTGTATTGTGTTCTTGTCATTTTGCCAGCTAGTGTTCAATTCAGCCATCAAACTTGGATATTAAATAGTATAGAAAGAGAAGACAATGGACAATGCACTAAGGCTGAAGGAGATTTAGATCTTTCCTCTGCTATTTATTAGCCTTGTAACACTGAAAATGATATTTAATGATAAGCATATTATTACGGTCTTTAAACACTTATTTGGAGCTAATAGCAAAATAATTAGGATATGAAATTTTATGTAGTATGTAGCAGACAGCCTGTTAAAGTAAAGAGTATATCACCCCCTGACCTCCCAGGATCGCGTCTGGAGAGTGGCTCGTAATCTGCCAGCCTCGGAGGTGGGAGGGAGAGCAAGTCCGGCAGAGGAATACCCATTCCAGTCCCAGCTGGCTCCATAGCTGGTGATTGGAAGAGCCTGCAACAGTGCTCCGAGAGGCGGGGGGGGGGGGGGTACTGGTGGGCCTTACAGATGCGTCTCGCTCTTTGCAGAAAATTTTAAAAAAAAGAAAAAAAAAGTAAAGAGTATATCATAAAACAGGATTTTTGAAAATTAATTTTTGCTGCAGTAACATTGATTTTTAAGATTGTGTGTGTTTTAGCTGTGCAATATTATTCATCTGTATCCATCACTTGTATCCATCCCGCTGCTCATTTTCGTTATTTCTGAGAACCCCGTTTGTCTCTGTCGGCAAACGTTTGGTCCCGTGAACCTTTTCCCTTCACTCCCAAGGCTTTTTCCACTCCATCTGATTTTTAAATTTTCTTTTGTTTTTCTGGGATCATATGTCTCTAGCTGTGCTCAGGGCTTCCGCTGTGCACCGGGATGACTCCTGATGGTGTTTTGTGGGGGAAGGGTGTTCTTCCCGCTGAACTGAGCTGGCGGTAAGGAGTAAAGAAGGCAGGTGCCCCCCCCACTGTGCTGTTTTCTAGTCTCATCTCTCCCAGCGTCTAAGGGGTAGTTTTTGTTTTGTCCATAAAAAAAGATTTTGTGTCACTATGTGTGTGTATTATAGAAACTGCAGCAACAATATAATTTTCTCAAACTATTTTTGAACAAAATTCATGTGCTTTAGAAAAATTCAACAAAGTAAAATAGAATTTACTTTGAGGAAAATAAAGGCTATAAGCATGAAAACAAAAGTTTTCTGTTTTCTTGGAAATTTGTTAACCACCTGATTCTGGTCTCCAGCCATCTGTTGAGTTTCTTGATGGTGCAGAAAACAGTCTGAGAAATGTCTGGAAAGTGACGTTTCTTTTCAGCCCCTGCCTCTCAGCACTGCTCTGTCTTCCCCAGTAGCTGACTCTGGTGCCAGTCACCGAAGCTGCCCAGATCTTTTCTGTATCTTGTACATTCCCAACATCTAAAAGCTCAGATATCAATTCCCTGAGGATCCTTTGCACGAGTCTTTATTTATGAATATGACTGGTAAGAATTTGTAGTCATGATACTCATTTTAATACAAGAGCAGCTCATTTTATAAAATTATTTTCATGGGGCTGTTTTCTAGAAAACTAGACATCGTATTGCAGCTAATTCAGGTGTTTATATACGCTGGGGAAAGGTCTGCTTTTTCCTCATTGAGACACAATAAAAATATGCCATTTGACTATATAGACACACATTATTAGAAGTAGTAGAGAATGTATTTGGGGTTTGGAGAGATAGTCCAGGGTTGTTTTGCACGCAACTGACCCCATTTCAATTCCCTGTACCTCATTTGGTCCCCCTGACGCCGCTGGAGGCCCACTCCTGAGCACAAAACCAGGAATGGACCCTGAGCACTGCTTCGTGTGGCTCCCACAAACACTAGAGGAGAATGTATTTTGATGGGGTGGGGGGTCAGGGGTTACTGTGACTCCTAAGCAGTGTTCAGGGTTTCTGGGGATCCAGTCCCTGCAGCTCTGCCAACTGTCCAGACAGTTTACTGCAGGCCCCAAGGGGTAGTGCTGCTGGGGTTATACAGGGAGTCCCCAGGCCGGGCTGTTGGTATTCGAGGGCCTCCAGGGATATTCTTGGCAGGCTTAGGGCACTAGGAAGTGCCAGGAATCAAGCCAGGCACCAACACAACTGAGGCCGGTGCCTCAGTCCCATACCCTCTCCCTGGATCCAGAGCATGTATTTTTTCAGATTCAGAAATGCAGTGACTAGGTAGGGGAAAGTTCTCGGTGGTAATGCACATGTCTTACATGCATGAGGCCCTGGGTTTGTTCCCTGGCACCAAAATAATATTATTTCAAAATAATGTGAAACCGTTCAAATAAATGACAGATTTCTTTTCCATTTTAATTTTATGTCTTCGTTCTCCTTGACTTTAGGACGAATCACTTTTGTAGAGCCAAATATTCAAAATGTGCCAAAAGATTTTGAGATCAAAATGCCAACACTAGTCGAGGAGAGTCCACCTTCCCAGGTGGCAGGCAGGGGCCTCCTTCCTAAGGGCAGGTAGGTGCTATTTTCTGTGTGAATATAGTTTTGTGAATGTATACATGCATGGCTTAAGATTAGCATATTAGACTAAATTTTCTTTTCCAGATATTTAATTTCTGTCCTGGGTCCTACCCATAGGGATGGTTGTGATTTCAAACCTCTTACCTGCCTGTAAATAAATTAGCTGATGGTGAAAGGTTAAAAAAAAAAACAACTAAATGGTTAAATGGTTAATTACATTAATCAGCACTATTGGCTTCTTTATGTTAAATATTACAGGGATGAGTTTAGCAGTACCAGGAACGAGCCTTTTGCCTTTGTCATATATACCCAAAAGGACTAAAAAACCCTTAATATACATATATATGTATAGATATATACATATATATGTATTTTGTGTAGTCAAAAAAAATTGTTGAGGTGAACTAAATGTCAGAGAAGCAGTTTGAAGGAAAGGCTATTACAGAAATGCCTTACTATTTAATTGAATGATTGCTAAAAGTGTTTCAGTATCTTTACTAAGCTTTAAAGGGAACTTTAACTAAAGGTGTTGAATCCTTAGATGGAAATACTGACTTGACTAAAAAATGTTTTTTTGTTGTGTGTATTTGAGATTGCTTTATGTCCAACTCATGATGTTGTTTGTATGGCAGAGGAAGAAATAGGAAGAGATATGACATGAGCCCTTGGCACCAGGCAGAGAAGGAAGAGAGAGCCTCCGACAGAGGAATGCCTTTTTCTGTTAGCATGCGACATGCCTTTGTGCCCTTTCCAGGTAAGACAGCAGACGGATTTTGAGCTTCTTATTGCTTTGGATGACTTTCAAGTCGCTGAACTAACCTGAATTATGAACAGGACTCATAAGTTTGCATTCAACCCTCTGTCTTTTCAGTGGAGCCTACAATGACTTTGTGTGGCACAATTTTTTTGGTGGTCTATTTAGTGGGAAACTTCTATGATGTGCTCACAACTATCTCTTGAAGCTACGCTATCTGAGGTCATTGTAAGCCTCTTTTGGTTTTGGTTTTTTGGGTAACCCCCAGCTATGCCTGGGGTTTACTCTTGGCTCTTCATTCAGGAATCACTCATGACACATGACAGGGCTTGCAGGACCATATATGGTGGCAGGGATTGAACCCAGGTTGGTGGCTGTATACAAGGCAAGTGCCTTAACCTCTGTCATATTTCTCCAGCCCTTTATTGTTAAACTTTTTGCAAATTCACCCAGACCTGCCAGCAGGCAAAACATAAAATGAGCAAATATGTTTTACTAATAGTATGGATAATTTGAGAGTTAGATCATGAGTTCCCCGGGCCAAGATCTCCAAGCCTACTCGGATTTGGGCCAAGCATCCTCCACCCAGATCCTCCAAATTCCAGTAGGCGGGGGGCCACACCCACCAACTGGCCCCCTGGTGCCGTGTAATCCCATCAACAGCCAAGACTCAGAGACTATAAAAACCAGCTCCCGGAACCGAATGCGGCTGCGTGATATCTTATTATGACATCTTATTATCTCATTCCTGCTTTGGACAAACTTGCAGGCTATCGAATGTAGCCTGCCCACAGGGCAGAGTCTGGCAAACTCCCCGTGGCGTACCCAATATGCCAAACACCAGTAACAATGATGGGTCTCATTCTCCTAAGGAGCCTTGAATATAATCTCAGGGCTAGGATGAAAGAGACGTTACTGGGGCCTGCTCGAGGCAATCGACGAATAACAGGATGATTTGTGATTTTGTAATTTGTGATCATGAGTTCCAAATGTTTTGAAATTAAAAAAAAGTTAATGATTAAGCAGTGAAAGGAGGAAAAAGTAATCTGGCAGATAATCAACTTGGGAAGATAATTAATGCAACAGGACACAGTTTGGAGAAATATAGCACAGAGCAAAACAAGTCAGAAATATAAAAAAATAATTATGATTTTAGAAATGATGGAGAAAAAATTGAGAGAGTGGGTGATTGGTGACAGATGTTACATGGGAATCAGACTGAAAAGGAACAAAATACACTGAATTTGCAAGTTATTTCTAATCCATAGATAATCTGAATCCTCTTCATAACTCTTATTCAAATTTTGACTACTTGCATCTTTGATGTTGCTGTTGAATGTCTTTGTTATTGTCAAAGTAGAGCATATCTTTCTCTCAAGCCAACTTGAAATGTGTATACATTAGAGTACCCTCTCTCCCTCCCTCCCTCCCTCCCTCCCTCCCTCCCTTCCTTCTTCTATGCAAGGCTTTTTATAGAATGTAAAAAAAAAATCTTCATTCTCCAGTTTCTAAATAGTCCGTTATTGCAGGAGAAGCATTAAAAAAAATTATTTTTATTGTGTGTTTGAAGCATTGGGAATTGCTAAGTTATACCAAATTGCTAATTTATAAGGGTAGCTTACATATATTACATTATTTGAAAGTTAAATGGAAAAAAAAGCTATTTAAGCTATCGAACTTAATTAACTCATATTAAGAGGCAGGTTTTAATTTTTGCAAACACAATCCAGAGGTTCTAAGTAATAATGGAATTTTTATATTGATTATTATATGGCTTTGGATTTGATTTTGACCAGCTTTCCTAAAATCATTCCTACTTCAGGTGGTTTCATATTGGCTGCTGATTACTCTCAACTTGAACTGAGGATCTTGGCTCATTTGTCCCACGATCGTCGTCTCATTCAAGTACTAAACTCTGGTGGTGATGTTTTCAGAAGTGTTGCAGCTGAGTGGAAGATGGTGGAGCCAGAGTGTGTTGGAGACACTCTGAGGCAGCAGGCAAAGCAGGTTATCTTAATGAATGTGCTTACTATAAGCCATAAGTTTTTTGACTCAAAAATTTTAAAATGGCCTCATCATTCACAATTGAATGCTTTCTTTCAGTTTTGGCTCTTTCAAAGCACATTCATCTGAGCCTCTTTCACATCACTCACTGTACTATCCTTGCAGAGTCAGTAGTAGCAATCAGAGATTCGGGTTGAGATTATTTAAGGTCAGGAAAGCCACATGCCTTAGTGTTAGATACTGTTGGTGGTATTTGTTATCTGTGTATAAATGTATTTTTAAATCATCTTTTTAATCTGTAAGCACCAGTATTTTGTTGTTTTTTAATTTTTGAACCATACCTGGCAGCGCTCAGGGCTTACTCCTGGTTCTGCATTTAGGGATCACTCCTAGTAGTGCTGACCATATGGGGTGCCAGGGATCGAACAAGAGTTTGCATATGCAAGGCAGTGCCTCATCCACTACACTTTCGCTCCGGCCTGCAACAGTATTTTTTTTTTTTCAATTTTTATTAGTCAAACACCATGAGGTACAGTTGTAGACTTACAAATTTTTGTGCTTGGGTTACAGTTATACAATGATTGACTACCAATCCCTCCACCTGTGCCTATTCCTCACCTCCAGTGCTCCCAGCATCCCTCCCACCCCCCCATCTCACCCCACCCCTGTGGCAGGGCATTCCCTTTTGTTCTTTCTCTCCTTTTGGGTACTGTGGTTTGCAAAAGAGGCATTGAGTGGCAATCATTTTCGGTCTATAGTCTACTTTCAGCATGCATCTCTCATCCTGGGAGGATCCTCCCAACACCCTTTACTTGGTGCTCCCTTCTCTATCTGAGCTGCCTTCTCCCCCAGCATGTGCGGCTGGCCTCCAAGCCATGGACTGAACCTCCTGGTGCTTATCTTGGCTATTCTTGGGTGTTAGTCTCCCATTTCTGCAACAGTATTATTTATGTTTCCACACAACATTTCACCAAAGCCTTTTTTTTAAAAAAAAAGTTAAAGTGCTCCTTAAATGTTTGTTGAAAATACATATTGCTAAATGTGCATTTTTTGTTAACTGATAGTTTTAATTTGTTGTGGCCTTTGGTTATCTTATTTACCTGTAATGATGCTATGCTATCCTGGGTCCTTTTATATATTTTTTGTTTTGGGGGGTTATACCAAGCAGTATTTAGGTTTTTATTTTTTTGCATACATGAAATTTTATTGAATGATGTGCTTGAATTGGTTTTTCTTTTATTTTGCCAAAGTAGAAAGGAAGTGCATTATTAGCTATAAAAAATCATATAAGCACAAAAATGATAAGCTAGCCAGCTGTGGACAAACATGACACATTTAAATTATTACATTTCAGAACTAGTGGGAGAGATGTTCTTGTAAATGTGAATTTAAGACAAATAAATGCAGGGTTGAATAGGGGAGGAAGTGTGAAAGCACATTTAAAGCTGTCCGTATGCATTCCTAGAAACAAGGACCATTCACAGTATAGTACAGTGGGGGTTTTATACATAAAAGATCTTGGGTTTGATCTCTGATAACATTTTTTTTGAATGAGTATTCCTGGAAGTGGGAATTATCTGAAGGTTATTGCCAATCTTGTGAAATGTTACAAATAATTTTATGCAAGGAGATTATGCGCCAGCATATATTTTTAATAGATAAAATATTGAGACCAGCTAAAAGCTCGCCCAGACTTAAAGCTGAGGTATAAATAGACAATGGAATACCACTCAGCTATGAGAGGATATGAAAGCTGGCTATAGGGTTTTTCCTGGCAGTGCTCAGGGGACAGTGTGGTGTGGGGGGGATTGAACCCTGGATTCTTACATGTAGAGCATGCTCCAGCCCTTGAGCCCTCTTCAATGGACCCATATTTGTTTCTACTTCTGCATGACTGACATAGAAAGCCAAAGGCCGCATTTTCATTCCAACTCCAACTTTATTCCAAATGAACTATGGGGAAAAGGACACCACTCACCTCAAAGAACAGCTTTCCTTGTCTTGTATTTACTCACTGCTGTTCTTCTTGGTCGATCAAGAGGTGAACTACTCCTCTTTCCACATTCTCGTTTGTTTCCATGAATCTTTATTTCCTCTTTGACTTCCTTCCTGACGTGTTGGTTGTTCAGTAACAAGCGATTTAATTTCCAGGTGTTTTAGTTATTTCTCCATTTCTCTTTGTAATCAACTTGTGCTTTTAGTGCATCATGGTCAGAGAAGATATTTGCTATGATTTCTATGCTTTGTGGAACTATGTTTTGTGTCCCAGCATGTGGTCTATCTTGGAGAATGTCCCATGTGCACTGGAGAAGACAGTGTATTCAGCCTATTGAGAATGAATGGCCCTATGTATTCCTACTAAGTCCCTTTCTTCTATTTCTTTCTTCAAGTGTTTCCTTTCCGAGCTTTAGTCTAATTGGTCTACTGAGAGGTGACAAAGTGGTGTTGAACTCTCCAACCACTGTTGTGTTGCTATCGGTGCCTTTTCAAGTCTATTGGCAGTCATTTTAAGTACTTTGCTGGTTCCTCATTAGGTATGTATATGTTTAGGGGTGAGTTCTACCTGATGTACTTGATCATTCAGAAATGAGTTTCACTGTCTCATAACATTTTTCAAGTCTATGTTGTCTGATATTAGTATGGCCACCCTGGCCTTTCTGAAGGGAATGTTTGCTTGAAGAACTGTCTTCAACCTTTGAGTCTGTGTTTGCTCCGACTATTCAAATGTGTTTCTTGCAAGCAGCAGTGTGTTGGGTTTAATTTTCTAATCTATCCTGCCACTCTGTGTCTCTTAATTGGTGCATTTAGCCCATTGATATTGAGAGAGGTTATTGCTATAGAGTTTTGTGCCATCTTTCTGCAGGAGTTTGGCATTCTTGTGGGGCTTGTCTTATCTTACAGCAGTCCATTTAGTTCTTGTAAAGATGGTTTTTAGTCTAAGTGATTTCTGTCTTGTTATTTATCTGTGAAATTATGTGTTGTTCCTTCAAATCTGAATGAGTGTCTGGCTGAGTAAAGTAGACTTGGTAAGTCATTCATTTCATTGAGTTTTTTTCATTATATCCCAACAATGTCTTCGGGCCTAGAGCGTTTCTACTGGTAATCTGCTATAAACCTTCAGAAAGCTCCTTTGCATTTAGTTTCCTTCTTTGATCTTGCTGCTTTCAGTATTCTATCTATATCTGTGGTTTTCTTCATTCTGATTCGGATGAATCTTGGGGTATTTTTATTTGGATTTATCTTAGATGGTACCTTCGGCCTCCTGGATCTGGGTGCGTACACTCTGCAGCTCTGGGGGCATCTCAGTGATGATGTATTGTCTGTTGCTTCTTCATCAGGGTTTTCTTCCTTCCCCTCTGGTACCCTGATGATTCTTATGTTGTTCCTCTTAAATTTATTTCAAAGTTTTCTCATTACCTGTTGGTTTATTTTGAGGCTCTTTTCCATCTTCTTCTGTTGTCTGGAGATTCTCTGCAACTCATCTTGGAGCTCACTGATTTTGTCTCCGGCAGCTGTTACTCTGCTGTTGAGGCCTTTCAGTGAGTTTTTAATTTCACCTGCTAAGTTTTTCATATCTGTCATTTCTGTTTGTATTCTCATTCTGCTCTCGTATCCACTGTGTTTTATTGGCCATGCGGTCCATTGTTTCTTTGAGCTCCTTATACGTCCTCAACATTCCTCTCAAAATTCCTTAGCAGAGAATTTATATAACACATTATCCCTGGTTGCATTTTCCGGGCTAACATCTTTGCTCACTAAGTCTGGTTTGATTCTGTGTTGCTTTACCATTGCCATCTGTGCAGTCTGGAATTGTTTCTTTCATTTTTTTTAAAAATTTTTATTAGTGAAACACCATGAGGTTCAGCTGTAGACTTACAAATTTTTGTGCCTGGGTTTCAGTTATACAATGATCGAGTACCCATTCCTCCACCAGTGCCCATTCTCCACCACCACTGATCCCAGTATCCCTCCCCCCCATCACCCCCTGCCCCCTGCCATGGAATTGTTTCTTATGTGTTGTTGCGTGGTCTTTAGAGTTAGGATGTCTTTGTATGGTTATGGAGAGGTATGGAGAGGGGAAGAAATGTGTGCCTCTACAACTGGGTTCTTTGCGGGTGGGGTGATTCCTGACCTGGGGGACAAAATGGCACTCGAGTAAAACACAGGGCCCTGGCACAGCTGTGTTTTCTTAGTTTCCTAGTATCACATTTATTTATTTATTTATTTATTTAATTTTTATTAGTGAAACACCATGAGGTACAGTTGTAGACTTATACATTTTTGTGCTTGGGTTTCAGTTATACAGTGATCGAGTACCCATCCCTCCACCAGTGCCCATTTCCCACCACCACGGATCCCAGTATCCCTCTCACCCCCATCCCCCCCACCCACCCTGCCTCTGTGGCATTCCCTTTTGTTCTCTCTCTCCTTGGGTGTTGTGGTTTGCAAAAGAGGCAATGAGTGGCAATCATGTTTGGTCTATAGTTTACTTTCAGCATGCTTCTCCCATCCTGGGAGGATCCTCCCAATCATGTTTGGTCTATAGTTTACTTTCAGCATGCTTCTCCCATCCTGGGAGGATCCTCCCAACACCCTTTATTTGGTGCTCCCTTATCTATCTGAGCTCCCTTTTCCCCTAGCATGTGTGGCAGGCCTCCAAGCCATGGAGCAAAATTCCTGGTACTAATCTCGGCCATTCTTGGGTGTTAGTCTCCTATTTTGTTACTTTATGTCCTAGGAACACCTTTAAGCAGTAGAAAACTAGTTTGGTGACTTCTGAGATAAATGACAGAGTCAGAAGTTAATCTTCCCTTTTGGATCATTAGGGTTATTTTCTTAAAATACGCATTCATATATACTTTTTCTCCCTCTATTCCTTTTTCTTCAGCCCTTCTGAGACCCCAAAAAGTGTTTTAAAAGGACAGAAAAGATGTTTGTAGTGTATTAATTCATAATTTTACACTTAACCCACCAAAATCAGGTCTACCATTTGTTTGACTCACCATGGAATAAGGTTACCATATTTCAATTCTAATGAACTCTTTATATTTGTATTTTATATAATTTTGACCTTTGCTTATTGAGTATGATGTCCCCTCCCCCTGACCCTTACAGATTTGTTATGGAATCATTTATGGAATGGGAGCAAAATCTTTGGGAGAGCAGATGGGCATTAAAGAAAATGATGCTGCTTGCTACATTGATTCCTTCAAGTCTAGATACACAGGTAAAGAATTCTTGAGTATTGATCATCTTTTCAACTATCTTTTCAACTATTCCCTTATAAACTTTAAGTTAAAATTTGAATTTTGAAAATTGTAAAATGCTAATAGTATATTCTGTTGTAAAACTCTAATAGAATATTTTTGAAATATTATATGCATTTGATTTAGATAAAAATTGTTAAAGAATGATTGCTGTTTTAGAATAGTGTCATTGTTTGTGTATCATTGTCCTAAGAATTCTAGGTGTGACCCAAACACACACACACACACACACACACACAGACTAGAAAGAGAGGGGGGGAAAAAAAGAAAGGAAGTTCACATATTTTATGTATTTATTTTTTGCTTTTTGGGTCACACCTGGCAATGCACAGGGGTTACTCCTGGTTCTGCACTCAGGAATTCCTCCTGGCAGTGCTCGGGGAACCGTATGGGATGCTGGGAATCGAACCCGGGTCGGCTGGGTGCAAGGCAAACGCCCTACCCACTGTGCTATCACTCTAGCCCAGTTCACACCTTTTAGATGTATATTTCTGTGAACTTTGAAAAATGCATCCAGTCATATGATTTATATTTTAACTGCATATTTACGCATCATCTCTGAAAGTATTTGTCTTGCCTCTTTGTAATCAACTCTCCATTTCCCACAGGAAAACCTTTTATTCATACATAACATGATCTTGTAGAGAGAAAATCAAATGAGTTCTCCAAAGCAATCACTAGAACCAATAACTAAATTTCAGAAGGTCCCAACATCCATGGTTAATTTGTTAAAATCCATCATTTTCCTGTATGCTAGCAGCAATTAATGAGTGAAATAAAAATAAAACCATTTAGAATAAGATTAAAAATGATGAAGTACTTGAGATAAATTTCACCTTATGTACAAGACTTTATTGCAATGTAATCCTTAGAGAAATTGAAAAAAATATTTAAATACATGTGAGGATTGCTATATAATTTATTAGATGACACAATATTATTATGGCAGTTCTCTGTAAATTGTTATATTGCTTCACTGCAATTCTAGTCAAAGTCCTTTAGACTTTTATGTTGAATAACTAATTCAAAAGCATAAAATAATAAAAATAATTTGGCGGAACAGGGTTTACTGCCGAGTTCTTGGTTTCAAAAACTTACTATAAATTACAAGAATTATGATAGACTTAGGTAAACATAAAGAATGGTGGAATAAAGCAGAGATTCCAAAAATAGAACTACACATACTTTTTAGCAATTGACGGTAAAATAGCCAATACCAGTATGGGGAAAAAATGAACTTCCAGTTTATTTCACCCTCATATATAAAAGTTATCTAGATTTGGAGCATAGATTAAAAGTAATAGCCGAGGGGCTAGAGTGATAGCACAGCAGGTAGGGTGTTTGCCTTGCATGCGGCCGACCTGGGTTCAATTCCCAGCATCCCATATGGTCCCCTGAGCACCGCCAGGAGTAACCCCTGTATATCTCCGGGTGTGACCCAAAAAGAAAAAAAAAAGTAATAGCTGAAAAATAGTTTTTTACCTTTACCTTTTACCAAGAAGAAGCAAAGAAGAAAAATTTGAGACATTGAGGTAGGCAAAGATTTTTTAGTAATAATAATATAGAATTAAGTTACAAAGGAAACATTAATTAAAGACACCTGTAAGAAAATGTAACTTCATACTACAGACTAAGAGAAAATATTTGTAGTTTCTATTATCTAAGAAAGAACTTGCATCCAGAATGCATAAAAAGTTCTTATAGGGCTGGAGAGATAGCATAGCAGGTTGGGTGTTAGTCTTGGATACAGCCTACCTGGGTTCAATTCCCAGCATTTCATATGGTCCTCTGAGCACCATCAGGAGTAATTCCTGAGTGCAAAGGCCAGGAGTAACCCCTGTGCATCACCAGATGTGACTCGAAAAGAAAAAAAAATGTTCTTATAACTCTGTGTGACAAGCCAGTAAAATGTCAAAATATTTAAACACTTTACAAAAAAAAGATGAAAGAATGGCCAGATCAGATGTTGTCACCATTGGTCAGTAGTGAAAAGCAAATTAAAACTAAGAGATATCATTACAAGAATACTACAATGGATAATATTAAAAACATTGGATCTCTTTTCTGTTCCTTATGGAGTTTATTAAAATGATGTAACCACTTTGGAAAGTTGTGTGGACACTTCCCTTATTGTGGTGGGAAGATGCTCGCTGGTTGGGTGAGTGTTTGAATATTATCTGTAATGAACTATTGTGAACAACTTTATGAAAATAAAATGTATAAAAATCACAAAAAACCAAAGAAAATTGTGTGGCTTTTTGATATAGTTCGTTATATGTAAATGTACACTTCATTTATAATTTTGCAATCTTACTGTTGGTTATTTTTCCAAACAAAATAAACCCATATGTTTTAAGAAAGACATGTACATGTTAAAAACCAAAGATTAGGAACAGCCCAGATATCTATCAATATTACTGATAAAGAAACTAGTATAGTTTTAGTAAAATAGTAATTTAAGAAGTCAGACACAAATGAGAACAAACAGTATAATTTAATTCTTAGGAAATTCAAGAACATGAAAACTAATAAGTAGTGTAAAGTATCTCAGCGAGTATTTGAAACTTGATACTGGGAGTTCACTATTAAGATAAGATTTCATATCATTTAGTGGTTATTATAGAGGTATTTACGATTATTAAAATACATCAAATTATTCACCTGAAGTGGGTGCCTCTCATTGGTATATAAATTGTACTTCAGAATGGATTGTCTTGAAAAATAGCTTTTGAATCTATGAATCTTTGAAGACCTCCTACTGGAAGGTTTGCCTCTACCTGAAGTCAGGTAGAAAGATTTGTGAATTATTAGTCTCTGAAATCTCCTGCTTTTCTTTTGTTCTTCTCTTGTCAGAATCACAGTAATTCTTAGTAAGAGAGCCTGATTGCTTTCTGAAATTCTTACGGTAGAAGTGTTGTATCACCAGCAGTTTTGTTTGGCAGCATTTTCTCTCACTCCTTTCACCCACAGTCCCCTCAAATGTCTTCCTTGCCAGCCACCAGCCAGAAGCCCTGAAACAAGGACTTTCAACTGGACTCCTAGTATTCATACTTTAGGATAAGTACAGTTATGAGCGCCAGTGATAGCATAGCGGGTGTGGCGTTTGGTTTGCACGTGGCCGACCTGGGTTCGATTTCTCCGCCTCTCTCAGAGAGCCCGGCAAGCTACCCAGAGAATTCTTCCTGCACAGCAAAGCTGGCAAGCTACCTGTGACGTATTTGATATGCCAAAATACAGTAACAACAAGTCTCACAATGGAGACGTTACTGGTGCCCGCTCAAGCAAATCGATGAACGGGATGACAGTGACAGTTACAAGAAAAGCAGAGATTGCATGCACAGGTCAGCTAGATGGATCAACAGTTGATATGCCTAATTGCAGTTTATTTTATTTATTTATTTAGTTTGGGGGCCACACATAAAAATGCCCAGGAGCTATTCCTGGTTCTGTGGTCTGGGTCAGTGCTGTTGATATTACAGGGATAAAACTGAGATTCGCAGCCCTGCAAGGCAGATACCTTAATGCCTGTACTGTCCCTCTGAATAAGTATTTTTAAAAATAGAGGAGAAAAGTGAATATGATATAGAAAAAAAGAGTGTTTCCGGCTCAGAAGCAGGAGTGATCATCGAAGAGATTTGTCCACCTGTGGAGGAAAGAATGTGCCCAAGACATCTGTAAAATGCAATGTCGGGCCTGGATGTTGAACGCTGGTAAAGGAATCAGGCCCGCACTCGAATAGTCACACCATACTTAGTCTCTTAAAATTTAAGAAGTGATTTCTAGAGGGCCAGAGAGATAATACAGCAGTTAAGATGTTTGTCTTGCACGTGGCTAACCCAAGTTTGATTTGACTCCGGGTTTCCCATCTGGTCCCCTGAGCACCACCAGGAGTGTTTTCTGAGTGTAGGAGGAAGAGTAAGTCCTGAGCATCACCAGTTGTGGCCTCCTCTGTGCCCGCCCCCACCCCCAAAAGAAAACAAAACAGGAGGAGAAAGCCCATGAAAAAACAAGAAGTGATTTCTAGACCTGGGAGACAGCTCACTGTCAAAAATGTCTGCCTTACCAATGTGTGGCTGAATTTCATAACTGGTGCCACCACGGGGGTCAAGCATAATTCTAGCAGCTCCACTGTCCATAATTCTTGGTGCTGCAACCTACTTCTAGTGACACTCTAACAAGGTATGCATGAGCACCACAACTGAAGAGTGACTGCTCCATTGACAGTACAGTAGGAATACAAGGTGTATGAGACCTTCCAGGGGTGCCCCCAACCCAGCACAAACAAGTATGTGAACATTGTGTAGACCCTCCCACCCCCCACCCCCCACTAAGCAATGTGTGCAAGCACCACCACTAAAGAGTGGGACCCCAGTGTGCAACACTGTCCCCCCTTCCATGGTGAGCACTGTGGCTGAGTGTGTGTGCCCTGCAACTTGCTGGACAAGCCCTGGGAGTACCACGACCAGCTCTGTAGCATAGATCATAACAAAGAACTATGGAAATTTGCACTTGGATCCAAGAGCCAAGAGCAAAATATGATTAACGTTATCGAACAACAGAAGCTTATGAGAAGTAATGTGCACTAAGCTGCAGAGTAAATTTACTTTTGTTTTTTAACTTACTCTGTTCTGGAGTGTAGGTTTCTATTTGGTGGTGGTGGCAGCTGTTTAGAAAACCACATTGTCATTTCTAAATTCATTTTCTCTCAATTATAAAAGGTGCATGGACATTTGTGTGCAAAATTTTGATGATGTATTATCAGTGTGGAGTTTTGGTGTTTTTAATTATATTGAAACCTGTGTGTTTTCTTTGTAGGAATTAATCATTTCATGAGAGAGACAGTGCAGAACTGTAGGAGAAATGGATTTGTTCAAACCATTTTGGGAAGACGCAGATATTTACCAGGAATTAAAGACAACAACCCTTATCATAAAGCTCATGTATGTTGAACTTTCTCTGAATTTTGAACTTAATATTTCAGTTTTTAAAATGATTACTTTTTTAACTTAATATCTCAATGACATGTATCTTTTCTATATCTACCTTTTCAACAAAGACTAAATTCTACCAACGACTCTTTTCGGGATAACTAGCATGTTAGGTTAAATCACTAGCATATCTTCTGTTTATGTACGGTCAACTGTTGTTTTCTGAAGTGATGGCACTTACCAATATTTACTGAACTCCGTCTTTTGGAGACTGATGTAAATATGAACTTGCCTAATAAAACTTCAGTTAGAATTGCTACGTACGGCTATGTATTGTTATCTGTTATTTTTAGTAACAAGGTATACACACACACACACACACACACACACACACGTGCCCAATTCATGCATTTGTTCATTGTTTTCTGTTTCAGAAACTATATTTGTTTTTCATGTCATACCAAACCATTGCCAATTTTCAGTGATTAACTAGTCATTGATGTGGGTATTTAATTTTATTCTACATATTTATTTTATCAAAGGCTCAAAGGTTATTTGATGATAAACAAAATATTGATGTTGGCTCTTTGGGGGTGGGAGTTGGGCCACACCTTGTGGTGCTTGTGGTTTACTCCTGGCTCTGTGCTCAGGTGCTCTTCTGGTTGTGCTCAATGGACCATGTGGTAACAAGATAAAATCAGTATCGAATGCCAGACAAATGCTTTAACCACTGTATTATCTCTCTATTTTTGCCATCATTTAATATGACTTAATTAGTGTATTAATGATAATTTGTCAATGTCAATATTTGTATACAGAATTTCTTTTTTTAATTTAATTTTATTTTATTAGTCAAGCATTATGAGCAATGGTACTGGTGATTCCAGTACATCAGGACCCATGGCCTAGAATGGAACGAACAGGGTGAGAGACTGAGTTCATCATGTCGACCAAGACCATTCATGGTAACTCACAGTTCCAGAAGGCAGAATCTAAACGATGGACATGGGAGTCTCCTGGTGGACGATTCCACAATGAAATAGACCACATCATATTCAATCGACGGTTTTGCCTGACTGATGTCGCTGTTGTCCCAAAATTTCGAACGGGATCGGACCACCGTCTCCTTCGTGCAAAATTCTACTTCACAGAGCGGGGAGAAAGGGCTGCAAAGTTCAAAAAGAGAACTCCCAGAATGACCACCAACTGGGAACTCTTTGGTACTATTGCGGCAACATGGGAAGATGCCATTGTTGACAACATTGACGAGGAATACGATCGACTGGTTCAGCACCTCCATGAATGTGCGAGGAACGCCAAGAGAGAGATAGCCACAAAAAGTCGCCTAGCTTCGAAAACTCTTGAGCTAATTCGCCAGCGTGGTTTGGCGCATGCCTCAGGCAACCGCAAGCTAACGTCCGAGCTTGCAAAGCAGTGCAGAGATGCAATCAAGGAAGACCTCAAAGAGAGAAGAGCAGAAGTACTGGTAGATGCGGCAGAAGCCGGGAAAAGTATTCATAACGCCCGCCTGTCCTTCGCCAACTATAAGACCAAGATGACTGCCCTCCGACGTCCTGATGGATCCATCACATCCTCCAGAACGGCAATGGAGAAGATTATCCATGACTTCTACTCAAATCTCTTCGATAGCCATGTCCACTTGCCAACATACCAAATTCCACAGGATGGGTATGTCGTTCGCAACGTTCTCCCTTCCGAAATCCGACACGCCATTTCGTTGGTAAAGAAACAAACAGCACCCGGCCCAGACAAGGTCAGACCTGAACACCTGAAGAACCTGCCGTCAGTACTCATCAATACACTGGCTTGGCTCTTCACTCGCTACCTATCTGAATGCAAGGTTCCGTCCCAATGGAAAACCAGCAGAACCATACTACTGTTCAAGAAGGGAGACATCCATGACATTGGCAACTATCGCCCGATCTGCCTATTGTCTGTCATCTACAAGTTGTTCACTCGAGTCATCCTGAATAGGATTGGCAGAACACTAGATGAAGGACAACCATGCGAGCAAGCAGGGTTCCGCAAAGGATTCAGCACCATCGACCATATCCACACGGTAACCAAGCTCATTGAGGTTTCTCGGGAGTTCAAGATGCCGCTCTGCTTAACGTTCATTGATTTAAAGAAGGCCTTTGATTCTGTTGAGACGGAAGCGGTCATTGAAGCCCTAGCCAATCAGGGCATTCAAGCCCAATACATCAGGATCCTCCGTGAGCTGTATTGCGGATTCACTACCAGGATCTCACCATTCTACAAAGAAGTGATCGTTGATGTCAAGAGAGGGGTGCGGCAGGGTGATACCATTTCACCGAAACTCTTCAGTGCCACCCTCGAGAACATCATGCGACGACTGGAATGGGAAGGAATGGGAGTGAAGATAGATGGTCGGCAATTACACCACCTCCGCTTTGCTGATGACATTGTTTTAATAACACCAAACATCAGCCAAGCGGCACAAATGCTGGCCGACTTTGACCGTGAGTGTGGAAAGGTAGGACTACAGCTGAATCTCACGAAGACAATGTTTATGAGAAACAGCCTCGTTCCTGACACCCCATTCGCTCTCAATGGAACGACCATCTCCGAATGCAACAGCTATGTGTACCTAGGTCGAGAGGTCAACATGACAAATGACCTGGCACCCGAGCTGTGCAGGAGGACGAGAGCGGCTTGGAACGCCTTCAAGAACGTCGAAGAAATAGCTAAGAGGACGAAGAACCTCCGGCTCCGGGCACATCTCTTTGATTCCACTGTTCTTCCTGCATTAACATATGCCTCAGAGACCTGGGCCCTACGCAAACAAGATGAGAACGCCATTCAGGTCTCCCAAAGAAGAATAGAAAGAGCTATGCTTGGAATATCACGTTTCACTCAAATGAGAGAAAGAATCCGGAGTTCTGACCTCCGTTAACGATCAAGAATCAGGGACGCTGTCTCATTTGCCAAGGTGTCGAAAATCAGATGGGCTGGTCATGTAATGAGATTTAAAGACGACCGTTGGACTAGAGCTGTTACTGATTGGATTCCACGGGATGTCAAAAGACCGCGTGGCCGCCAACCTACCAGATGGTCAGACTTCTTCATCAAGATCATGAACGATCGGTTTGAGGCCCTTCATGTTCCCGGAGCGAACAGATGCCATTGGGCTACACTAGCACGTGACAGGGACAAATGGAGACGTTACTGGCGCCCGCTCGAGCAAATCGACGACTAACGGGAAGTTAAGTGATTAAGTGATAAGTGGTACTGGTGATACAAGAGACATTTATTTGGTTCCCCCAATATTTTCTTTTTTTTTTTTTTCAGAAATGAAACCTGGAAAGTCTTACTGATACACATAGTTTTTGCTTTTCTTTTCAGGAATGTTTATTTATTTATTTTTATTTGCTTTTTTTTTTGTTTTTGCTTTTTGGGTCACACCTGGCAATGCTCAGGGGGTTACTCCCGGTTCTGCACTCAGGAATTACTCCTGGCAGTACTTGGGGGACCATATGGGATGCTGGGAATTGAACCTGGGTTGGCTGCATGCAAGGCAAATGCCTTACCCACTGTGCTATTGCTCCAGCCCCAGGACTGTTTATTGAGATACTGTGATTTACAAAATTGTTCATAATAGAGTTGTTTCAGCCATACAGTGTTGAAACACCAATCCTACCACCATTGACCCCTTCCATCCCCCAACCTGCTCCCTTGGCAGGCATATAACAAATTTATTTCCTATTACTCGGTCCAATAAAACTTAAAAAGAATGGAAAATAGAATTATCAGAAAATAAATCAATAAAAGTCAGTTTGTGATGACTAATTTCTGTGTTTTTAACCTTTCTTAATCTAGTAGAGGACAACAACATGCACCGTTAGTAAATGCTATACTGAATCTCACATAATGGGAAGTTTCTCCTCTTCTGTAAAAGCTCTTTTAATAATTCTTGAAAAACTGTTTTCAATACTATGAATTTTGTAAGCTATTGCGTGTTCATGAAGCTCTGTATAGTTACTTCTAATATGAATGATAATCTAGCTGGGAAGAGTAATCTTGGTGTCATTTTGTTGTCATATATATATATATACACACTTATATATTCTGGAGCGATAGCACAGTGGTAGGGCGTTCGCCTTACAAGCGGCCAACATGGCCGACCCGAGTTCGATTCCTCCGCCCCTCTCGGAGGGCCTGGCAAGCCACCCGTGATGTATTCGATATGCCAAACACAGTAACAACAAAGTCTCCAGTGGAGACGTTACTGGGCCCGCTCAAGCAAATCGACGATCAACGGGAGGGCCTTTACCTTTACCTTATATATTCTTATATATTCTTCTAGCTGGTGGAGTCTCGTTTGATAGGTCTGCTGGGCTTTCCTTTGTATATAAGTTTCTTTTTGTTTATCTTGCTGCTTTCAGTACTCTTTCAATAGTCTTTGGATTTTCTCATTTTAAGTTTCGTTATCTTGAAGTTTCTGAATTTGGGTTGTTTTTCCCGGGATCCTTTCGAGCCTCTTGGATCTCAACTCTGGGTAGTTCTGATCAATTATTTCTTTAACTATCATTTCTTCATCACATTTGCCTTTGTGTTTGTTCTTCAGGAACTCCAATGATTCTTCTTCTACTGTTCCTCTTGAACTGATCTCATAGTACTCTAGTATGCTGGTCATTTCTTTTCAGACTTTTCCACCTTCTGCTGTTTCCTAGCAGTCTTCTTCATCTCATCTCAGTCCTTCTTGATCTTTTGAGCAACTATTATTCTGCTGTTCAGAGCATCAATTGGGTTTTTTATACCACCTATCATGTTCTTCATTTCAGTCATTTCTGACTGTTGTAGCTTTGTTTGTTTGTTTTTTAATTTTCACTCTCATACTTTCTTGCCCTTTGCTGATTACCTGTGCTGATGTTTCTTTGAATTCATTGAGCATCCTCATTAGAGTATCATGAAGACACTGAGGATTTGTTGGTGGTGTTAATGTCTTCAGTGATACTTCTGCTCATTAAGCT